TTAAAATAGCATTTATTTGTGTAATCATTGCTTAATTTTATCCTTATTAAAATGAAATCCCTAAAAATGGAAGAACATTGCAAGTTTTTATTCACCACTAAATAGTCCAAGCACATATTAGACACCTAACAATGTGTGAAAGAATAAAGGTGAAACATTAGAAAATAGAAAAGGAAGGACAGCACTATAAATTTTATCTTAAAATTTTTACAATATTATAACAGACTTACTGCATTTTCCATTAAAATAACTGCAAATCTTTATTCTCTTGGAAATCTGCCTCTACTATCTCATTTCCAACATCTTCAAAACACCTCAAAATAAATGTCCAACAGAACTTGACAATGTATAAGAAAGTTTATATTTATCAAACTTCCTGCAAATCAAGCACTTTTGCCTTTCTTGGAAACTACAGAGAAGAGAATGATTAAAATCATAATCACTTAGGCAGTTATTGAAAACATAACTGTCAACAAATACTTTCTTCTTCTCTGTCTGAGAGGGGGAAGGATTTTCTAATTGTTACAGGTATGATCTGAAAAGGCAGCTCAAATCTCAGCGTGCTCTTCAAAAACCATAGCTCTGTTTGTTTTTGATGATAACTATTCTGAAAAAGGAACCCTGCTGCATTGTAGGTGGGAATGTAAACTAGTGTAACTACTGTGGAAAACAGTATGGAGAGATCTCAAAGGAGAACTCGCTAGATAGTAACAGAACTGTAGGAAGAAGTAAAGGTCTCAATAAAGGCAAACAACTGGACAATCATAATCGCCAGTTTTCTGATAACAATGGCTTGTAACTCCACTTCTTGTTTTCTACAAGACTGAAGAGACTAATAATATCAAAAGAATTATTGGCTTGTGTTTTGGGGCATAGAAAGTATAAGCTTGTAACTGTGACAAAGCTCTAAAGGAATAAGAGATTTTCTGTGTTATTAAGGTTATCCTGGTGTACATTCAAGAATATTACAATTTTATGAAGTTAGAAGTAATCCCTGCAGTAACCACAAAGAAAATGGCTACAGAATATAGACAAAAGGAAAATATACACAAAAGGAAAAATCAACTAAAGCCTCCCTGCCATCTTCCTCCCTCTTGCCCATCTTCCCTCCTTTGCCATCTTCCCTCCCTCCCATCATCCTTCTCTCCCTCCTTACCATCGTCCCTCCCTGCCATCATCCTTCTCTCCCTCCTTACCATCGTCCCTCCCTCCCATCATCCTTCTCTTCCTCCTTACCATCTTCCCTTCCTCCCATCTTCCCTCTCCCCCTGCCCTCCATCTTCCCTTTCTCCTCCCCTTCCACCATCCCTCCCTCCCATCTCCCTTCCCTTTCATCTTGCCTCCTTCCCTTCTCACCCCCTGAAAAAAATGAACTAAACAAAAATCAGTAATGTAGGAAATTAGTAAAAAAATGCTAAAAGGAATATAAAAAACAAAAGCAAAATGACAGGCACTCACCCTTATCATTAATTATTTTGAATGTAAATGGAGTAAATGCTAAGGAAGAAAGGGAAAAAATATACATATACACAAGTAGTTAAGACAGTTATACAACTAGTTTCTCTTAGTTCATTAAAAGGAAAGGTTTATGCTAACATTATTTAGACAAGATATCTACTACCAGCAATACGCAATATATCAATTGTTGTAACTGTCCTACTAACCTGTGTATTTTTTATCTTTTTTCTCTTTAAAATAAAAAAGAAGACAAAGATTGGCAGAATAGATTAAAAAATACATAATTCAAGTAGACACTGTCTACAAATAACTCACAAATGAAAGAAAAGTAAAAAGAATGGAAAGACATTCCATGCAAATAGTAGTCCAAAAGAGAGTAGGTGTGGCTGTACTAAGGTGAGACAAAAGAAACCTTACATTAAAAAAAGTTGAAAGAGACATAGGACATTATATATTAATAAAAGGTTCAGTACATTAAGAAGATATAAAATTATAAATATAACAGAAGTAAAAACTGACAGCATTGAAGGAATAACTCAACAGTTTTAAAATAATAGTTGGAGAATCCTGTAACCACTCCTATAATGGATGGAAGTAAACATATGGAAGATTTAAAACAAGAAATTAACTAGCTTTAACAAACATACAAAAATTTACCCAACAACAGCATGCATATTCTTCTCAAGTATACATGACACATTTTCCAGGAGAGACCACATGTTAGGCTACAAATTAAATCTTAAATGATGTAAAATGGAAGGCATCTTTAAAAATGTGTTCTCCAACCACAAAAGAAAAAAATGAAGCAAATATCAGAAACAGAAAAAAAATAGAAATTTCACAATTTTGTGGAAATTAAACAACAACATACTCTTACATAACCAATTAAGCAAAGAGAAAAATCACCAAGGAAAATAGAAAATACTTACAGATGAATAAAATAAAAATGCAACATAACAAAACTCATGTGATACAATAAAGTAGTGCTAAGGGGGGAATTTATAGCTATAAACATATGTTTTAAATTCTCAAATTAATAACCTAACTTACAAATTAAGGAACTAAAAAATGGAAAACAACCTAAACCAAAATCTAACAGAAAGAATAAACATCACAGCCTCGATAAACTAAAATGACAGAAAAAACAATGCAGAAAAATCACTGACACTAAAAGTTCTTTTGAAAACATCTACAAAATGGACAAGTCGTTAGCTGAATGGACTAAGACATCAAAGAGAGAAGACTCAAATTGCTGAAATCAGAAATGAAATTAGAATTACCACTAATTCTACAGAAATAAAAAGAATGATAGAGCATAACAAACAATAGTATGGAAAAAACCATAAATAACTTAGACAAAATGGACAAATTCCGAGAAACACAAACCCCATGAAAACTACACCACAAAGGAACAAATGCTAGGCAGACCTGTGCCTAGCTGAGAGAGGACACTGCAGTGGTTCAGTTCTGGACTGTCCCACAAGGCTCATGTGTAGAAGGCTCAGTCCCTAGGGCAGCAACGTTCACAGATGAGGCTTGGGAAACATGAAGTCATGAGAACTCCAGACTTATCAGTGGGTTCATCCATGGATACAGTCATACTTTGATGGCATTATTGGAAGATGAGGGAAGTAGGGTTCACCCTACTTAGAGGAAGCAGGTAACAGGGTGCATGCTTTGGAAGGGTTATATGTATCTTGACCTAGACCCTCCTTCTCTTCTCCCTCCCTTCTTTCCTTCTCCTCTCCCCTCCCCTCCTCTTCTCTCTTCTTCCCACCTCTTCTTTTTCCCTCCTGTCCTTTCCCTCGCTCTCCCTCTCTTTCTTCACCTTCCCTTCCTCCCTCTGCTTCCTGCCGTCATGAGCGGAGCACTTTTTCTGCCATGCCCCTCTGCCATGTTGTACTGACTTACCACAGGCCCAGGGACCATAAACCAAAACTACTGAAGCATGAACACAAAACCAATCTTTCTCCCTTCAAGTTCACTTTCTCAAGTGTTTTATCAGAGTGATGTAAACCTGACTAATACAAAGACTGAATGAGTAATCAAAAGTCTGAGAAAGTAAAGCTCTGGACCTGATGGCTTCACCTCTAAATCTGAACATTTACAAAAAAACTACCAATCCTTTGTAACTTCCTCAGAAAATCAAAGAGATAAGAATATTCTTTAAGCCCAGCATTACTCTGACACCAAAGTAAAGACACTACAAGAAAAGAAAATACATACCAGTATCTTTTATTAACAATGATGTAAACATTCTGAACTAAAAGCTAGCAGGCTAAATTTAGCAGCACATTAAAAGGATTATAAACCATGACTAAGTGGCATTAATTCCCATGGTACAACTATGGTTCAGTATAAAAACTGGTCAGTGTAACATACCACATTGACAAAAATGGGGAAAACAACCAAATGATCATCTCAACTAATGCAAAAAAAAATATTTTTCACAAAATTTAGCACTTCTTTTTTCATTTTGTGATAAGGTCTCACTATGGTGCCTAAGCTACCCTTGAACTCCTGGTCTCAAGTAATCCTTCTGTCTTATTCTCCCAAAGTAGCTGTGAATATACCCAGCACCATGCCCAGCTTCAACACATTTTTTCTGATTAAAAAATCTGACAATCTGGGAATAGAAAGAAACTACTTCAGTGTAATAAAAGATACATACAAACCCTCCAGAAAGAAATATCTTCCTCAGTGGTAGAAGATTAAAGGCTTTTCCTGTGACCAAGGCAAGCATGCCTGCTTTCATCACTTCCGTTCAACATTGGAAGTTTAGTCACAGTAATTAGACAAGAAAATAAATGAGTATCCAAATTGTAAAGAAAGAAGTAAAATTATCTTTTTTTCAGATGATTTGAAACTTATGAGTAGGAAACTCTCAATTTTTCACTAAAAAACCTAGAATATGTTTAGCAAAGTAGAAAGATATAAAGTCAACAAAAAAATTAGTTGTATTTCTATATATTAAAAATGAACTATCAAAATTACAATACAATTCCCCTTACAGTAGTATCAAAAATAATAAAATGCTTAAGAATAAATATAGCAAATATTTAATCAATGAAAACATTCCTGAAAAAATGTATTTAGAGCTACTAAAATGTTACATAGAAACGATTTCAATGATAAATTTTGTTATGTGTATTTTGCCACAACAAAAAAAATCTGGGAAGTGGGCATGGTGGCACACAGCCCTTCACAGGCTGACCCAGGAGGATTGTGAGTTTGTGACCAGCCTTGGCTACAAGATTCAGGCCAACCCGGACAACATAGTAAGACCAGGTTTTTTTTTAAAAAATGAGGAAATATAGTAGTATCTACTAACTGGAATCCAGTAAAGAAGGCCGAAATTACTCAGAGCCTGATAAAATGATCTTCGTAAATACAAAAAGGTTTTAGAAAGATAGCTTTAATTTATAGCAACTCATGTATCAAAATTCTTAACATAAGTTGCTACATTTTATAAAACTTTGTAAATTATGTGTGATGGAACTAAAACAATAACAATGTTCACAAAAATAAAACATAGACAATACCTTGGAGGCACGAATCTGCCTATGAACATCTGTTAGTTGTTGGATTTTGTATTCTAGCTCTGAAATCTGGGCTTGAAGCCACGTCCATCGGCTGCCAACTCTTGCTCTGTCTACAAGCCACTTCCATTCAGTACTACGGTTACTGTGAACAAGAAAAGCACTGTTAGTCAAAACACAAGCCAGTGAAGATCTCACAGACTGCTTAATAACTTCCTTGAGTCCTAGCATAAAATCCTACTTCCTTTACAAAACAGCTAATTACATGAAAGAATGACGGGTTGACTTATCAAAAAAAGCAGTGAAATTTCTTTATCATTCCACCCCCATTAGTTGTTTTTATTCAACATTGTGAACCCAGGAGTAAGATAATCTTTCCACAGTTTTTCATTAATGCTAAACACTTAGATAGGGATGGGCCAGCAAAGCAAACATGAATGATAATACCAATACAATGTAAGAACAGATTCGTAAGGTCTAACGCGTGAGTAGTTAGAAAGTATTGATCAAACCATTTGAACTATGTCTACATCCATGCAGCAAACTATAGTGTATTCAACCTAATTATATGTAATTTTCATTTACTAAAACAGGCATCACTATTCGGTGACTTCATAAAAATCAATTTTAAGAAACTGACAAAAACTGTTAGAAATATGCTCTTCTACATTTGAAATAATAACTACATCAAATATACAAGCTTTGAGAGATTTTTAAGATAAACACCTTGTTAAAAATCTGATTTCCATGATTCACAACCAAGAGATCACAAAAGAATTATATAAAGCCATTCTTTCATGTGTATTTGAAAATAAAGATTGAATCCTAACTCTTCCTAGTTGCTCTATAGTTTGTGAGATTACAGATTAGCTACTTTATATAATATTTCAACCATCTTAAGTAGAAAACAATTATTTGGAATTACAGATGTGTGTATGTGTGCATTTGTGCACATGTGTATGTTATAAATTGCCAAGGAAATGTTTCAAATAAACTGATGGGAAATAACTATTTAATGGCAAGACATATAACTTTGCTTAAAAACTCTAAAAATCCATTTTTTCAGAATTAAATGTTATTTCACATTGCTAGAAACCATGAAAAACATTTACATTATCCTATATTACAGCACAACATTTTGACGGAATAGTTCTTGTTATAAATAAGATCTTACTGATTTGTATAACTGAAATAAGTCTACAATTCTTCAAGGTAAAGCAGAATATTTTAGTAAATAACTTTAAAAATTTTAAATGTAGAAATAAACATATGGCTTCATTATAAAAATCTTATGTAGTCTACTTCTAGATTATGTCTATGATCAATTAACACCATAAAGATGCATTCTTAACATTATTTTGGTAAGCTGAAATACAGCAGAAAAATTAACACAGCTCAGAAATATTAAGCATACACTTTTGCTACATTTTAAACTGTATGGTAACTATACCATATTTACAGAGCTCTAGTTAACCTTTATTATCCATAAATCTGCTTTCAAATAATTGTTGTTATTAATCTGGAAATTTTGACTATTTAAAAATCAAACAATTGCCATTCTTATGACTGCATAAAAGACTAATTTTTGTTGTTGTTGTTGTTGTTGTTTTTCCGGTACCAGGGATGGAATTCATGGCCTTGCACTTGCCAGGCAGGCACTGTGCTGCTAAGCTAAATCCCCAGCCCCCAAACATACAGAATGATTGTTTGTTTGTTTGTTTTGTTTTTCTTCTGGTACCAGGAATCGAACTCACAACCTTGCACCTGCCAGCCAGGCGCTGTGCCACTGAGCTAAACCCCCAGCCTAAAAGACTAATTTTTAAAAATAATTTGAAGTGAAAGTTTCAAATAAGACCATTGGCAAAAGTCTACTTATTGCCAAACAACATAGGATATATACCACCAAAACTGAACCATAATGTAAATTATGTACTTTGAGTTATAATGTGTCAACAGAGGTTCATCAGTCATAACAATGGTGCACCACTCTGGTGTTAGACATTGACAGTGGAAGAAATTGTGCACTTGTAGGTATCAAAGTATATGAGAACTCTGAGAGCCGGGCGTGGTGGTGCACGCCTGTAATCCCAGCCCTTGGGAGGCTGAGGCAGGAGGATCATTGCAAGTTTGAGACTGGACTGGGCTACAAAGTGAGCTCAAGGTCAGCCTGAACTGCATAGTGAGACCCTGTCTCAAAAAGACAAAAACAAAAAAAAGGGAACTCTGTACATTTTACTCAATTTTGCTATGACCTAAAAGTGCTCTTAAAATTTATTATTTTTAAAAATGCATTTAAACATAAAAGTACATTTTTCATATTAGACTTTAGCCAAGCATTTACTTTAAGAGAGCATTTGCTGTCAGGTAAACAGAAGACAATTATTGTAGCTTTGTATTTATCTATTACTCCAAGATTTTATATCCGTATTTTAAAAAGTTATTCATAAAAAGATTTTTGCTGGGCATAATGTGATTGGAGAGATCATATATATTAGAATTTGTCTTGGTATCATTAACTATTATTTAATAGTCATTATTGTGATTTTGTACATTTGAAACAATAAAAAAATCATACTTTCACAGATATGGACAAAATGGAAGAAAATGCCAAATTAAAAATTTATTATTTATACATAGACAGTATTTAGTAACGCAAAGCTTAGGAAGGCAAGAACCATACCACACAGTATCTTGTACATGAGAGGTATACAGTTTGGATTTTAATGTGAAATGAAAACTATTGGTAAAGCAGTAACACATTTATTTTTTTAAGCACTTGGAAATTAGGTGGAGAAAGTATGATAGGAGTATGTGAGACAAAATGAAGAAACTAATTAAAATGTAACTAAAACAATCTAATTGTGATGAAAATAATAGGCCCCAAATATTTCACTCCTACCCTACATTTCCCAAACTTCCTTGCAATTAGGTTGGAACCATGTGATTAGTAATGACCAATAGGCTGTGAACAAAAAGGACACTGTGATTTCTAGTCCATTTAAGGATCTTCAATCCACTAGTACAAACAGTAGAGCTAAGAAGACCATACTATTATACTGTAGTAGGAGGAAGATCACAGTCCAAACCACAATGGATTTTCATGTAAGCTGCTTTACACTTTTGCTGACTTAAACCACGTAGGTCAGGAGGCTCATTTATGACACACTATAAATTATTCTGACTAAAACACTGACTATGAAAATAGTATGGAGTAGAAAAATGTTGGAAGGTAAAAAGGATAAAATGGGTAAGAAGTTGGATTTAAGATTTATTTTACAGTTAACAGACTTGCAGAAGAATAGCATGGAAGTAAACATGGGAAAATAAAAATATTCTTACGTATTCATTAAGTTCTGCTCCAGTTGAAAAATTTACCTATAATATGCAATTTGGTGTGGCTATCAAGCCGGTTAATGATCACATGTAATAGAAAAAAAGAAAATATTCATTTATTCTTCATTTTGAACTTCTGGTAAAGATATTCTGATGCTGAAATTACTATTATAAAAATTATTTTCATGTTCATACATTACATTAAATTATACTAACATATAAAAACAGAAATGCAAGATTAAATTCAAGTAAATGAAATCATGCCAAAGCCTTGTGATGTATGAGATGAATTATGTATCCCACATTTTAATAAAAATGAATAAAATCTGTTTGCTATGCTTAAAAGTGGTAGACAGGCTTGCCACTAAAAATGCCCCCTTGCTTAAAATGTTTTCTTTAAAAATAATTATGGTTGACCAAAATGTGTAACAGATATTGTGAAATAGGGAGAAAATGTTTAAATGGGAAGGAGAACTAGGGAGGGGAGAGGGAGAAAGGAAGGAATGGAAAAGAAAAAATGAGAAAAGGAAGAAGTGGAAACAAAGCTTTTGTAAGTAAGTAGGGAAAGGGGGTTGAAGGGTGGTAAGGGAATGGGAAAAAATCAAGTTATATCATGTACAGGTACAAATTCCCTATGATGAATGTGATCATCATGATACCTAAAATTGTAGCAATAAACTTAATTAATAAAAAATAAAAATAAAAAGTAAAACAATAACGGTGGAAAAAATAATAATTATGGCTGTAAATATACAACAGATGAACATATGATTGACTTGCTGAAAGGAGATTAACACCTGTGGCATCCTAAAGAAAAAACATAGTTTGTGTAACTAATTTATGTAACCAATGATAACTAACTAATAAAATGTACAGTGTAGCCAATAACTATAATAACTAATAAAATGTGCAGTGTAGCCAATCAGAACATAGCTGGTAGAATAGCAAACCTGTAAGATTTAAGGAATACCCAGAATATGCAGAGACCGACTAGTTTGTAGGTCTGGCCTGCCAGACCAGTAAGAACATTGACTCCCAGCATCTCTCTGAAGTGTGCTGAACTGATCACAGACCATCACATGCAGACCACAACATGGGGCTCCAGGCCAAACACATCTGTGAGTGGAGTCCCCTCCTGCAGTGAGAGACCAGTCAGTCCCCAAAAGGGTAGCAAATGCCTTCAATTCCCATCTCACTTGCTTATAGTCACCACTTAACCTGCTAAAGGAAGTAAGTACAGCTGGTTACGTAGTTTGAGAGCAATTTGGCTTTGTATTATTTTTTAACATTTTGAACCTACATTTCTGGGTTTTTTTGTTTGTTTGTTTGTTTGGTTTTTCCCTGGTGCTGGGAATAGAACTCATGACCTTGTGCTTACTGGGCAGGCACTGTGCTGCTGAGCTAAATCCCCCAGCCCCTACATCTGTTTTTGACTTTGAAGTGTGAGTTCTCAAAATGAGAGACAGCTTTCCAATATCATATTTTAGATTACCAAGATTTGAAGACATATATAAATTAATTTTGCCTGTAACTAAGATTTTCTTAGATCATTAATACAATGAATTACTTATGACTGGAAGTAAAAAGGAGAAGATTCACTTGTGAAAAATGATGATTCTAAGAAAAGTAAGTTTTGTCTTAGAAAATATAAGTTAGGCTAACCTTCCCTTCTAGAAATTGGTTGCCTAGGAAAAGTGTATCAATCCCTGGAACTGGGTTCTTTTAGACTGGGGTGGGCAAACTTTTTCAGTAAGAAGACAGTAAACATAGGCTTTGTGGATCACATGGTCTATGTAACAAGTGCTCAACTTG